GCGGATGGAGGGTACAGGCCGCCTGCGAGAGCGGAGCTCAGCAGAGACAGCGTCAGGAGGAAGGTATACATGTCCATTGTCTTGTCAGAAGGAGAATGACACATTCTTGTCACTGAATGAGCCTTATATGCCGAACAAGCAAAGCACTCAATGGTTAATAACAGAGGAGATTGGGGGAGGTGGGAAAAGAGAGAGACGAGAGGAGGATGGCACGTGCTTTTTTGTAGAGTTTACTGAAATATGCTAAGGAAAACATTGGATTTCTACTATTGATTAAAAATGTTTTTAAAGAAAAAAAAAAGTTAAGTAAACAGGCACTCTACAGAGGAGGAAGATTTTCTATCACATTGCTTCTGTTTTAGCAGAATTTAGATATATAAACGATAACAGTGAATGAGTATATAATCTTTGATGCTTTTATTTTCTTCTTTCTTTCTTGCTGTAATGCATTATGAACACGCTCGTTTTCTACAGAAAGAATAAACTGCATGAATTCAAGATAAGGAAAACATAACCATCTACCTTTCTACTTTACGGAGTTGCTTAATAAGGCTTCTACAATGACGGAATTTTTGAGAATCATTTCTCGGTTTTGAATTTCAGCGCCCGTTTTCTTTCTATTATTTGCAAATCTGATGTCACAAATAAAATTTGACTTATTGTTAGAGGCATTCAATGTATGTTAGTATACTGAAAATCACATAGCTTATGCACACAATTTAACTGTAAGATAAGTGCTTACGGTATTTGCACGATTCAGTTTTCAGGATAATACTGAGAAAAATAATATTCACAAAATTCTAGATCAGTGTAATTCTCTGAAGTCTATTACTTAATACACACACATATATAATTAGATAGATCGATATACATACACATGTATATATATACTTATTTTGTATATATAGATAATATATATATTCACATATATGTATACATATGCATATATTTAAGCATGTATGGATATATATATACACACATCCACATACACACAGACATATGTGTGTAGAGAGAGAAAGAGAAAGGATGAGAGATGGCGAGAGACAAATGTCTGTGAGCCACATTGGGCATGTTTTTCTTTAAATAGTCTTTGGAAAATATAAAACCATTTAAACTTAAATCAATACTTGATTAATTGTTATTTCGTTTCCTAAATTGTACACTTTCATTCCTGGCACGGCCCAGTAGCAACGTCATTTTTAAATGTATACCTTTCTTTAGGTCAAAGATTTGTGGGAATCTACGTCTTTCTTCGCATAACATACATTTTTTTCAGATTGTTTCTGCAAAGGTGAATAGTTGTTTGTATGATTATTTTTATTATTATTTTCTTTTTGAATACTTACAGTCAAACATAGAGTTTCTTTTACTATTTTAGTATTTCATATTTTGGTCTTTATATGTTTAGGCCTTTTAGTTTGGTATCAAAGAACACATTCCTGACCTAAAGTGTCTTCTGATGCCTTTCTCTCCAAGTGGCACGTGCTGATTTTGTTTGAAAATATAACCACTTTCTTTCTTCAACGCGTATTCACTTAATGTCAATTTTCAGGGCGTGCCCGACAGAGAGGAATTTCGATTCCATTTTACATCGTGTCAGACGGAAGGAGAAAAAACAAGTAGAAATGTTGCCAAGTATATGTATGTATACATATGTGTGTGTGTATGTATGTGTGTATGTGTGTGAATGTATATGTATATATAATCACACATACACACATATATACACACAGTAAGTAAGTGTGTGTATGTATTTATAAATATACAATAAACACACACGTGCATATATATGTGCGTGTGTGTGTGTGTTTGTATATTTGCATGTGAATATATATACATATATATGACATATATGTATGTATATAGTGTTTGTATATATTTATTTATATAGACATGTCTGTATAAGTATATACAAATATATACAGTGAGACATGCCTGTGTGTGTATATATATAAACACACATATGTATAATATGTATATACATATACGGATAAAATGCATGAAATCTAAACCGAACTGAACAAAAAGGCCATAGTTATTCAGTACTTCATTGTTATTTCACTTCCTAAATTCTACACTTTCATCCCTTGCACGGCACAGTAACAACATCATTATTCTAAATATACTTTTCTTTAGGTCAACCAAAGAGTTGTAGGAATATCCGTATTTTTTTGCATAACTTTTTTCAGATTGGTTCTGTAAAAGCGTACACTTGTTTGTATGATTCATTTTCTTTTGAAAAGCTTAAGCCAAATATACAGTTAATCTTATTTTCTTTTACTGCTACTTTGGTGACAAGAAATACAATCCTAACCCAAAGGGTCTTCAGAAGCCTTTCTCTGTAAGTGACACATGCTGATTTTGTTTGAAAATATAGCCGCTGTATTTAGTCCACGCATATTCACGTACCCTTTCAGATTATTGCTGTAATAGTTTTTGGTATGATTTTTCTTTTAAAAACCTAAGCTCAAATATGTATTTAATTTTATCTTTCTTATTATCTTAGTATAATATATTTTGGTCTTGGTATGCTTAGGAATGCTAGTTTGGTATCAAGGAACACATTCCTAACCTAAAGAGTCTTCAGATGCCTTTCTCCAAGTGGCACGTGCTAATATTGATTGAAAATATAACCACATTATTTACTCCACGCATATACACGTAATATCCATTTCTTTGATTGAAACTTTTATTGCTACTTTGCAGTCATTTATTTGGCACGGAATGTTGCACTTGGCGGATAAACAGTGTTTTCAAGATTTTATCACAGTCAGTTAGATTAGAAAATTCAAATTATTGCAAAGAAAAAGGTTGGTCAGCAACAAAATAGGAATATTTCACCATTTGAGCGAGTGTTGTGCACTTGGTGGACACACAGTCTGCGTCACCATCTTCGTGCGCGTGTGAGTACTGGTTCTGTATCGAGGAACATATTCCGTGCTCGTCGTCACGCTCGTCTCCTCGATGCTCTCCACGACCTGCTGGGTCTCCAGCTGACTGACTGTCCAGGTGAGCGTCGAAAACTCGGTCTCCTACACCGTAAGCGTGATATCGGCCAAGCGCGTGTGGACCTCCGTCACGGTGTCAAAGTGGGTCTCGAGCACGGGGACGGTTTCCACGAGGGTGTGGTAGTTGGTTGCCGTTCGTGTGGCCACGTCGAGGACGGTCTCGGTGAGTCTGTTGGTGACGGTCTCGATCTGCGTCAACGTGTGTGGCACTTGAGTCTCGACCAGCTGGACTTCTGTGACGGTGGCATTTGGCCGGGACGCAGTGACGGTGAGGATGTAGGTGGGCAGTGACGGGCAGTGTGGTTGTCTGGTAAACAGTCTTGAGATGAATGTGCGTAGCGACCAAGAGTTCCTCGAGTACCTCCAAATACGTGGCTTGTATTACTTTGTCTTCGTACTGCACCTCCTGCTTCAAGGGACACACTAACGGCCTGTTTCTCGTAATAGAGTCCGGCAGAAACCTGC